CAACAACTGAGAACGGACGCAAATCCTTGGCAATAAAAGTTGCGATAGAGCTTGTAATTCGCTTCGCCCTTTCCGAGTTGGGTGAAAGCTTTGACATCGCTTGCTCGATGGTCCTCTGGTTCGCAGCAGCTACAACCGGGCGTTTTTCTTCCTCCTCCGGGTGAAAACGTGTAATGTGGTTTCGCATGTTTGTCGTGTTTCCAAAATATCTTAGTTTAGTGTGACACACCTTGAATACAGTGTGGCTCTTGTCCAGGTCCTTTTTCCCTTCAACTTCATAGAAGCCAAAATGCTTCCATACGCTGGCTTTTAATGCAGAGGGAGCTGGTTTGATTTCCCGCTCCTCCATTTTGTATCTTTGTTGTGTGCGCACCACAGACTGTCCGGGCGCTGCACTTCCGCACTTCCAGGTTCCGTCTTTTGCATTCCGTCAACATTACATTATCATTTAAAATTTTGAAAATCGATTTTTGACATTTGTGAATCGATTCAGATTCGTTCACGTCCGCATCGCGATGCATCTAAGAATCGATTTTTTCCCGCACCCCTAATAAGTACACAAGTATTCATAAAATATATTTTTGCAGAACACAATCCCACAAAAAACCAATGGGACCAGCCCTTGAACCACTTCAACTGTAATTTTCCCCGTTAAGAGGCCCGCATGTATTAAATTATATTTTCTACAATGTTTTCAAACATTTTTCACCCCACATGCAACAAATGGATCTAATTCCATATTTAGTGAATCCCCCTCCTGTGTGTGGAAAGTGGGTTTGGAAGTTGGAATCCAAATAAGTGAAGACTAATTTCACATGATTTTAATTACGTGTTTAAAGTGATAATATTACAAGCCGTTTTAGCTTTCAATAATATTGTAGCGTCGGCATAAAGTGAGACACTGGGGAGCCAATGATTCTGCTTGGAATAGTGCTTTTTAAGGGAAACGCCAGCAGAAAGGCACACAACACAGACAGGGAGAGCAGGCAAGCATGCAAACCCACTCTAACTAACTCCACCGCCCAGCACAAAAATCACAACTTTAACGGACGAACAACATAACATTAAGAAGTCCTTTTTTTCGGAAAGCACGTGCCTTCTATGAGCCTCCTCATGTGGCTTTTCACATAGCCACGCCTCCCAAACTTGTACTGCCATATAGGCAGTAGTGGGATGCTACAATAATGGATTTTATAAAACAATATAACAATACAACACTTTACATATGTGAAACTGACAGTATTACTAGTAAAAAGGTAAAAAAAAAAAACATTTAAACATTTAAATATACAGTTAAAGAATAAAAAAAAAACAATTTCCAAAAAAGTTGGGATGCTGTGCAGACGGTAAATAAAAATAGAATGCAATGATGTGCAAATCAAGTAAACCATATTTTTACAGGAAAATAGTACAAAGACAACATATCAAGTGTTGAAACCGAGAAATTTTATTGTTTTTTGAAAAACATATGCCCATTTTGAATTTGATGCCAACAACACATTCCAAAAAAGTTGGGACGGGGGCACGTTTACCACTGTGTTTCATCACCTCTTCTTTTAACAACACTCTGTAAGCGTTTGGGAAATGAGGAGACCAAACCAACTGCTATAGTTTAGAAAGTTCTTGTTTGATACAGGATTTCAGCTGCTCAACAGTTCGGGGGCTCATTTGTCATATTTTTCATTTCATAATGTGCCAGATGTTTTCAGTGGTGACAGGTTTGGACTGCAGGCTGGTCAGTTTAGCACCTGGACTCTTTTAATACGGAGCAATGCTGTTGTTATATGTAGAATGTAGTTTGACATGGGGTACTAATAAGGTCGACGATGTAAATTGGATGCTACAGTTGGTGCTGGCTTTGCTCCAGATTCACCCTGCTACTTGACTAGGTACTAACGGAACAAACAGAACATCACATTACTGGCCATGGCTCAACCAACAGAGACCACAGTAATGAGGCGGGGAACACGGCAGCATACCTTATTGCACACTAAATCAATTAATACGCTGTCGCCACTCGCACTAGCTTAGCTCCAAGTGGCTAAACCTAACAGGACCCAAGGCTTCTCAGCTGTGCCTGTCCACCGGTACCTCAACACTTGCCAAGGAGAAACTTACTTTAAATCACTAAATACTAGCATTACAGCAGGAGCAAAGTAGGCAATATACAACTCAACATACCTTTATGTAGTAAAGACCGAACCCACGGTTCCAACATCAAGGAATGCTGACTCCAACACACTCGCCGGCTTAGCCTAGCAGCAATGAACCGAAACTGCTACCAAGACCCCAAGGTGTTTGTATATATGCCTGCCCCTAGGACCCCAGGTGGCTCTGTTCGCTCTTGCTCCCATCCTAATTACCGACATACCCCACAGAGAAAAAAAACAAACAGAAGGTGTTCTACTACACAGGCTACAATCCACCCCCTCCAAACGATTCAGCTGCCTGACGATGGCAGCTTCTACCACAGCATATCAATGGTCAAGAGGTAGCTCCCCCTCACCAGTCCTCTGGATTACAGCTGTTCGTGGGATCCTGTGTGGGTTTGAGTGCTGGCCTGCAGTGGATCTGGCTGAACGTCGTAGGGGAACGTGTGTAGGCGAGACATCTTCATCAGGAATAGGTGACCTGACCGGCTCATGTACCTCTTGGGGCTCCGTCTCCCAGTACAGGACTATTGAATCTCCTGATGCACTTTCCTCAGGGACTGGTGAACTTGGTGAGTCCGCCCTATCAACCATAGACGTGGCTCCTCCCATCCTGGGTTGCTGTCCTTCTGGAACTGCTCTCAGCTCAGACCGGTGCACCTGTCAAACTGGTCCTTCTTCGTAAGCCGGAGCCACTGAATATACGACCCCCATTCCTGATGGACTCCAGACTACCCGATACACACAGGAATTCCAGTAATCTTGAATCTTGTTCCGGCCCAATACGTGATTCTGCAAATAGATGAGCTGCCCTTCTTTAAACCCAGGATCATTCACTTGATCATTGTTCTTCTGGTTACGCCTGCGGGCCTGCTTCTCCAGTCACTGTCTTACATGCTCTTGGACCATCCTTAGACTCTGTTGATGTTTCCGAATCCATTCCTCCAATAAGTCAGTACTTGGTATGGTTTCTCCAGTCCCCAACAGAAAACCTACAGGCAGCCTTAGATGACAACCAAACTCAAGATAATAAGGTGTCTGCCCAGTAGTCTGGTGGGGGGTAGTGTTATATGCAAAGGTCAGCTGGGGCAGGTGGCACGGCCAGTGTCTCTTCTCTGCCAATGGTAATGTTCGCAATAAGTTGTGTAAAGTATGATTGAACCGTTCGTACTGTCCATTCCCCTGGGGATGGTAAGGTGTGGTTCTGCTTTTCTGTATGCCATACATTTTACACAACTTCTGAGTCAACGTGCTTTCAAAATTCCGCCCTTGATCCGAGTGTATACGAGCTGGGGTACCGAATCAATGAAACCAATGCTGTACCAATGCTTGGGCCACAGTACTTGCCCGCTGATCTTTAGTAGGGACAGCTTGTGTATACTTGGTGAAGATGTCAGTCAAGATTAAAATGTTTTCTCCCGATATGCACGAACTTTGGGCTGGACTGCTTTTCCCACCACACATCTTTAACACTGTTGGCACCACTGTTCTGTGTCCTGGGCCATATTTGGCCAAAAACATCTGTTCTGCAGCAGCTGAAGGTGTTCTACTACACAGGCTACATATTTACATTTTGCACAGCGTCCCAACCTTTTTGGAAATGGGGTTGTAATTCTATTGAAATTTAATTTAAATAGAATTCCTGAGAACAAGAAAAATCTTGCAAATTTCTTCCATGGCATAGCATATATATATAGTAATTTTAGTAGTTACTGCAAAAAATCCACAGCATGAATTTACATTTGTGTTTAAGCCCGGCTCAACAATACATCAGAGTGCAATGGAGAAAATACCTAATACCTGAGTGCCTGAAATCTCTGTAAAAAGGCAAATTTAGTCGACTATGAAACAATCATTTTGACTCATAAAAGTAAGTACATCGGCTCGTTCACAAGAAATCACTCATCTGAAACCGAGCCTGATTTTGTTTGCCTGAGAGTTTGCCGGCCTGTCAGGCTGCAGACCTCTAATAGTAATATTAATAAGAGGGCACAACACTGATGGAATGCTTTGTTTGTATGATCTTTGTTTCTTGTCGGGCTTTAGACAAGAAGAGTTTTACTTTATTACTATTCAGCTTTTAAAATATCTAAAAACTGTAGATAAAATGTTTATGTGCTAGCAGGACTTTAGAAAGTCTATCTAATTAACCACTACTCCACCTGTTTTCCCATTTTGTATTCTAATATTTTATACTAATGCTGTTTGCTATCCAGTGTCGACCAGAGGAGGATGGGTTCCCCTTTTGATTCTTGGTTCCTCTCAAGGTTTGAATTGACTAGAAAGGAGGGGTGTAGAAGACATTGATACAGAAAGAAAGGAAATTTTAATAATGGCATCATTGAGGAAGATCTCTGTTTTATTGGTATTGTTTTACACTTTCTGCCCAGTGGTTTCTTTTCCTTTTTTAAGAAGACCCAATAACCATTGCTGAATCGCTGCACACTTCATTGCTGTGTAAATCCTTATATTAACTAAAAAAGTAGCAACTGCATATTTTACAGATTAATAGAAAAAAATTCTGGGGGGGGGGTTTGCAAAACAACTGCTTAAAGCTTTTATTTGGTGCACTATTATCTGAAATTTGTCATTTTTGGCAATCGTAATATGGTAGTACTATGATAATTCCAGAAAGAAATGTAATGTAAACAAAACCATTTAATATTTTTGATGGTTAAGTTTTACTTTGGTGTGGCTGGCGATATTTTTCGGGACGATTCTGGGACAGTTCTGAAAAAAGATCTGGAGCCCTGTAGTGTAACAACCTGATCAAACCATGTGCAGCTCTTTATTGATCATATTCAGTTCTGTTTACTGCATTTGCTAATAATATTGATGATTTTGTTACAGCTAGCCAAGCCAGTTGTAAATGCTTCCTGGATTTCCATCCCAGAAAAAGACGAAGACTTGGAGCAAAACACCACTTGCAGTATAGCTGGTTGGGGACGCATGAAAAACAGTGGACGTCTAAGTGATGTTCTTATGGAGGCGAATGTCACGATGTTAAGCAGCAAGGAATGCAAACGTTGGTGGAAATTCAACAATACACTGTGTACAGATGCTCCCCATCGTGGATTTTGCGTGGTAAAGTTTTTCTTAAGATTCTTAACCTGTTTTTTGATAAATAAGGCAAAGCTTTTTGCACAGAAGATTTTTGCTTGTGAAATGTGTCGAATCCACTTTTACATTCAGTGTTCAGTGTTTTACATTTAGAATTTGCAGTTTTTAGCAGTAGCTTTATAAAGGTCAGCTCAGCAGTGTGCTAAGATTGTACCTGTATGTTGCAGGGAGACGGTGGAGGTCCTTTGGTGTGTAATAATACTGCAGTCGGAATCATGTCCTTCAATGAAAAGAATTGTGTAACTTCCAAAGCACCACAGGGCTACACCAAGATTTCTGGATTCCTGCCCTGGATCAGAGGAATAATTAGTAGAATTAAATAGTTAGCATTGTGAATGGTTCACTGGGGCTGGCTTGACCATAAAATTGTGGTTCATGATTCATAACAAATAATTTCACAGTAAAAAAGGTTTGACTGGCTATAAAGGTTTTATATCACCTTTTTCTTGATAGCAAATAAAAGTTTGAAAACTGGCCAAGTATGGAAAGAAAATGAGTACATTACATTAGTAAATTTGTTCTTTCATTAAAAATAAAGCACCTGATTTGCATTAAAATCAGTTGTGAATGCAGATCTGTGGTTGCTTATTTTATGTATGAACTAGTAATACTGTTAATGTTATTGGCTCTCTGACATGCTGTAAGACAGAAATGCTGCATACCTGCTTATGCATTATACATGTCATGCTACAGCCAGCGACACATAACTACCTGCCTGGTGGGGGTACAATTGTACTGGGTCCCTAAAATCTTTATTGGTTCCTTCATACAGATACTGACACACATGTCCACCCATGACTCACAATTTCTCAACAACATCTCACCAGTTAGCTCCCACCATCACTGCACAGACAGCCCTGATGTCAACTTGTTACCCTCTTATTCATAATGCATCTCAGCCATGATTAGAACTAAAATCAAAATGATAAGGGATAATATTGAATGTACAGAACATCATCTACTGTCCCTCCTATGTGTGACTGTGTTCTATTATAGTAATCAAGGCATGATTTACTACACTGTGTTCAAATGTCACTGGACATTACAATTTATCTCAAACTTTGTTTATGTACAAATAAATATGTACTATTTTCTTTTTTGCCTTTCACAAAAGGGACATTTCAAAATGATATATATATATATACAAAAGATATTTCTGACAAATACAGTATCATTCAGAAACAGTGTTTCATTTGTTTCATTCTGTTTATTTCATTAAAATTACTAACTGAACATTCAATTTATCACTACCAAAACAATCACAACAGAACCAAAACTTTCCCAAATCTTAAGGTAGTGACTGTTTCGGTACTGACAATTCAAACTCATTTTGAGTAGAACTCAAACATGCTAGCCAGCACATGACTGGCAAACATACAGTCATAATATTTTTCATAAAACACACAAAAGTTTACTAAGCACAAAGTATGTGTTTCAGTAGTGACAATGCTTAATGTTCCACACTGATTTTTTCAGACATTGAGAGACATTTCAAAACAATGGGATCTAACTGCTCACAATGTGGCCATGAGGGACAGGGATGCAGTCTCACTTCCTGCTCTGAAATGCAGGGGTGTGGCTAAAATAAGGCTCCACCTATAGACTAAGCTGTTTCACTTAAAAATTCAACTCATGATAAATCTAAATCTGTCAATTTCACTTTAAAATAAATCAAAAAAAGATCTTTTAAAAACAACATTAAACAAAATGCAAAATTTTAATTTTTGTTTTCACAAGCTGAAATGTAGGGGTTCGGGTTTGGGACAGACACTTCCCAATAGAAAGCACTCTATAAGTGATGATTTTGTATGTATTTAGCTTATTACTAACTCAATTAATGCATTGGATTTAAATAGATCAGAACATAATCTTTGTAAATATCTAGGGTCTGAACATTTGTTTGTCAAATGTTCTTTTTTTTTTTACTGTGGGCCTGCAATTTAAACTAATTCAGTAGAATGGTCCAGATATCAGGGCAGTGTGTTAGTCTGTTAGATATAGCTGGTGAAACACTCACATTTAACTTTGTTTATTTGAAGAAATCCTGTGTACTTGGGTGTGTTATTGTGCACGTTCTCTAATTAGGGAACAAATGTACACTATTCGGTATCAGGACCAAAAGCTCATAGCGGTAATGCATCAAAAACAGGTTCAACTGACATGCTAAGAATATCTTACCTTGAGCTGGGCCAAATGCAAAAGCTAAATGCAATTCTTTGTATAATTCACAAAAAAAGAATAAAACATACTTTTTGATATCATGTTTTACCAAAGCCTATAAAAAGATAACTGTATATTTAAATTAAATAAATATTTTAATGAACATAGTAAATATACTAAACCTCGTCTCAGTCTCTATTTTGAGCTAGTTGCAAGTAAACATGGTACTTAGTCTATGCCATTAAATAAAATGAATCACTGAGAATACAAACTGCTAGAACTCTATCTGTGCAGCTCATTACTGCAGCGGTTTCGATCTGAACAGTTTTTACTTCATATTTTCATGGCACTTGTGTTTTAGCCAAAGCCATTGATCTGGTGAAATCAATTGTTTATTCTAAAACAGACAGTTCCAGTCCTAAAATCTAAATGGCTGAGCCGCGTTCGAAGCCGTTGTAAAATCCACAATATACCACGGCTGTGACCGCCTCACAACAACTGAACTCTATCACTGCGCCACGGCACGAAAAACCTTTCTGCTGTTAATGAAACAATCTTTGACTCTAATGCTGCTCGCACGGAGCACAGAGTGTACTGATAAGGTAAGAACCCAGTTCTGTTTTGTTCTGAGGGGCTGAAAACTTATTCACGTAACTAGAACTAGGCTGGTCAGCTAACCAACAGGCTAAAAGATAGCAAACATGCTAAACAACTCCATCATTAATATCACAGGCCTGAATTAAAGTACTCACAATATGATTTACTGAAAAACGGCAATATAAAAGTCTAAAGAATGTCACCTGAATGGCTTACACTCTTCAAATGTCCGTGTTTCAGTCAGAAGTAGCATCAAACCCAGGCTGGATCCCAAACGGCTCCATACTCCCTAAATAGTGTGCTGTGTAACATTAAGTTTAGAAATTAGCTCGCTTCTGCAGTCAAATAGTGCACTGCTTGTCAAGTATGAATGTGGATGAATCCTAAATCCATAAATTTTTAGCGATATTTTGCATTGTTGGGCTGCAGGAGTATTTAAATTCCTACGTAGCTAGAGCACTATGTAGGGAGCAGGAAGCTGTTTGAGATTCAGCCCCAGCGTGAGAAAAGTGACATCGTCAGACTGGCAGAAGACAACTCACGGTTGTAATGTGGTGACCGAAAAGTACTTATAAACTGAAAGTAACTGCACTGAACAGTGCTGTGTTATCATATGTTCACTGTTATAGAAAAATGCTTTAAAAATCATGTTTGCATTTTACAGTGACTGGCAACCAAACGCTCTTCTCTTCATTCAGTGGTCAATGGCTGCTTAGCAACGATACCATAATCTAAAGGAACTACATTTCTTTGGCGGAATACTTGTTTATGTCGATTATTATTAATAATAACTTACGTAATTATCTAAAACATTGTGTATTTTAATATATTTTATATTGGCCGCCGATTTATAAAAGCAATAAGCCACTCAAGGCAGTGAGTTACTGCGATTTTATCACGGAGAAAGGGGCTTTAGGCACTCCACTTCATGTTGTGCCAAAGAACACCCTTCCCCATGATAAAATCGCAGTAACCCACAGCCTCTCGTGGCTTACTGCTTTAATATCATGTTGTTCAACGTGATTGCATCAAGTCCTGTTGCTGCTTTGATTGGCTGTTTCATGAAATTTGTTTCACAGAGTTCAGATGCTTAGAACTGTTTTGTCTGAATTTCAAGGGAGTTTCCAGACACTTTACATTATGCAACTTGTGTGCAATTTAGTTTCATGTAAGTTTCAAGCAACTAAACTTGCATGGGCATTTCAATGTGTAAAGCCAGTCTTAGACTTTGTGAATAACTGGAATGCTTTCTGGGCAAAACTAAGGCTTTTATCAAAGAGAAGGCCTACATGCAAGTCAGTACACTCTCGAGAAGGGTTTTTTGGGGTGATGCCTGAAATGAACCACTTTGGTTCCCTAAAGAGGTTTTCAATGAATAAGATGTGAGAGTTTGCAGAGACTTTTTTTAAACCATAACCATAAACCATAAATCCAAACTAATGCTCCATTTATATTCTGATGGTAGAAGGTTGACGGCGAACTGGACATTCTAGTGTTTTCAGTGAAGTAGTGGTCAAAAATTCTGCCACCCCTGGCAGCAAGGGTAGCATACCGCAGCGTTCAGTAGAGCATTCCATCAACAGCTAAATTTTCCTTTCTTTTGCTGTCAGCCAGGGCAATGAAATAAACCAGATGTTGATTATTTGGGGACCATGAATGCCAAACAACTAAGTGCTGAAAGTGTAGGCACATGCAGTATTATACAACAAAAAATAAAAGAGTATAGAACGTCCTCCTGCCTTTTTAATGCCATAAATAAAAAATCAACACTGCATAGTTTCCTCCATTTGACTATATTTTAAAGGTAGATGTATGGACTGCCTTACACTTCCCACAATCCTGTCAGCACTGTTGCAATTCAGATAAAAAAAATGGCAGAAGCCAGAAGCGCTGGCACAGAAACCAGTTTGCGCACAAATATGAGTTGTTTGTAATTATTTTAAATAAATATTTTATTTCTGGCAAGAATTAGTCAATGTACTTTTCATCTATTAAATAAAAGTTATTTGAAAAGTGCCTGTGGTTTGTTGTGTAAACATCTATTGACACTACACGCTATGTAGTGAATGTAATGCTTTTCAAACACCTCCTCTTTGTACTGAAGCTTGGTTGTTAATTGTAAATACAATTTATATATGATAAACATGCTTATATAATTCTGGCCACAGATTCTCAAGCCAGCAGAAAAATCAACAAAACAATGTTTCAAAGCAAAACAACATCTTTTTGGCTGAAATAATGTTGTGGTTTGAGTTTGTATGGTGCGAGCTTCACCTATTAAACAGTAATTCAATTTCATTTCATTCTTACATTATTTGAAGTACATTGCCAGCTTGAATTCTGGCCTCAAGATTCAGTGGCTTGGCAAATTTTAATATTTGTCTACTCCAGGTGTAAGGCATTATCATGTAATAGTTAAAAAATAACTTGCTTGTTTGTTTTTACTGGTTACGTATATGAATATTTCTCCTTTGGTTGTTACTTATGCATTTCTACCTTTATTGAATTATTACTTGCTTTTTGCTGCAGGTCCCATATCTGGATTTAGATCTGGAGTGTTGGTCTTGTTGGGAAAATCTGCTGAAAGAGCATCTTTCTGATGTGTAAAGCCATGATCACAAACATTTTAGCATCTATGTTCAAATCAATATCAGCATCAAGCATCTTGTTTGAGGTTTGCACTTCATTTGCATCATAAAATACTTCATCAGAATTTGTTATCTGAGTTGAGGATCCCCGTATCACCGCATCTGATGCCTCAGCACGACATACTCTACCATACCACTATATTGTCAATGTCACTGTGCTGAGAATAGTCCACCACCCAAATAACAACAGGTCAGCATTGGCACTACAGTGGTCACTTCCCACTGATGATAAATTGTACGTTGTTTTTATTATATATATATATATATATATATATATATATATATATATATAAATAATCAACTTACAGTGTTTTATTCAACTTGGTCTAGATCTTATTGCTTCAACGTCAGTGATTTCTGCCCTGGATTAAGGTTGTCGTAGGAGACATTATGGAGTGTGTACTTGACTAATAAACACTAAAAAAGTAATGTACAAACCTGAATCTCAAATTTAAGACCACAGTGACACGCTGCAAGACACTGCTTTCACAAGTAATCAAACACATTTCCTTCTAAAGAAAATGTTGTACTCCCTCAGCATTTTTGTGCTTCCTTCCTCACACAACCTCTCATATACATCATTACAGTCATAAGTCAAACTCGCATGTTAACTGTTAAGTCAGTGGTCACAATTTTAAGCGAAACACAAGTGAATGACATCAGCACTGACTTTCAATTTTACTCTAGTTTCTTTAGTCAGACTCAG